TTGACAAAATTTTCGACCAAGTTGCAACCAATGTTGGTCGCTAATTTATTTAAAATCATTATTTTATTATTGTCACAGTTTAGCGACCAACTTTGGTCGCTTTTCTTGGCAAACCAACTTTGGTCGCTAAATTTTGGTCGCTTTACGCAGGAATTCTAGTAGTGAAAGTGAGATTTTCTCTTTCAAATTAGACGCATGGTGTGAATTTTGGTTAACTTTAAACTTCAAACTAGTTGACCATTTACAACCTCAAAACCACTGGTCTAATTTTGAAAAGTGGCCAACTTCTAAATACAAGGTCACAAAAATGACTGTGCAAATCATCCTTTTTCCCGATTAGCCAGAAACAACCTAGGTTATTTCATATAAAACGGCCTTATTTTATATGATTAGGAAATTATTAATAAGTACCATATACGTGAGGGTAATCTTATAGATACTTCTAGGAAAATATGTTTTTTTAAGAGGGGAACTTACAGCCGCTACAACCTCTGCCCTTCGGGTGGGCACTTTGTACGCACTGGATAAACCTCCCACTATGTAATAGCCTGCAAACCACACAGGGGATGTAAACCGCACTAGACAAACCCTATACGACAGGCTCAACCCAAAAAAATTAAATGTATACCCTTTTTGAGATTGTTCCGAGTAATAAATCCTCTTCCAGTTATGTAAAAGCTTTATAGATAGGGTTCTTCATTTCATTTTGATTGTACATGGCACTTGATTATTATTATTATATATTTTCATTTTATCCTTCAATCCGTATACGTGGAGATAATCGTTGCATATTAGAGCCTTGATATGTTATTCGTCTCTTTTTTTTAACAAAATATGTTAATTGTTCTTAAATGCATGTAAATTTTCTTTAAAAAATTTCATCTAGGTTGTCATAATATGTTTATAAGCAAGTTAAAGTAGGATTTAATACTCATCATGTAGCACATTCAGTACTTGGAATTGATACTTTTGCTCCAAATGCAAGTCAAGTACGTTTAACGTGTGATGAGCTTGCTTGTAATGTGTGTGGCTTGTTCTTTATTTTCCAATAACTCCTAAAATTTCGAATTTGGAGTAAGAAAAAAATTGTTAATGCACTTCTCATCGATCAATTTTTCGGTCGATTGTAAAAAACTAACCGATTATAGTGAGAGAAGGAGCAAGTTGATGAAACTTTTTAAAGTTCCATATAAATACGTGGCCTCAATCTCGAATTATATTGAGAAGTAGGAAGAAATGCTGGAGTTTGAACTACCACAGTTTAAAACTCCAAATAATGGTCAGGAGTTTAAACTGCATCTAAAACACTAGAATTTTTTGAACTCCAACACATTTGTGATAGAGTTCTCTTTATCAAAGCTTCGAACTCCAGCATCGTATTTTATGTGCTAGAGTAGTTTCATGTTTTACCTAGAGGTATTTTTTGTTCATATGTTATTTTTGTCTTAAAAATGACAATTTCTCAATTATACTTCAAACACGGTCTAAATATTAATAAGCGGAAAAACTGACCATTCAAGCTAGAAATTTTTAGGAATTTTTACCTCCTATAGCAAAGGTTGATACCTTATTTATTTTAAATAAACACCCTTTTAAATACGCTTTGTACTATTTCTCTCTCTCATTCTTTCAGATTTTTCTTCACCATCTCTCTCTCAACGCCAGTCTTTCTCCATGAATACAACCATGATTCTCCACTGATTCATCTCCATTGTCTCGCGAAATTTTCATTGTCAATGGGTTGGGGCTCTGAATCAATGTCAATGTCGAAATCAAGCCCTAGAGAAAAAGATGGAGGTTCCAAATCTGCCATTGAAAGGTGAATTGAGGGAAATTTTTGGGGGGTTGTATATTTGAAATGTGAATTGGAGGGATTTGCAAATGAAACTATAGTGAAATTTTGGGGGAATTTCTTTCGTTTTTGCGCCAAGTTTTGAGAGTTTGGAGTCAGAATCACGGCCCTCTTGACGAGACGACATTGGGGTTGTTCTTGAACAAAGACAACAGAGTTTGGGGCTGAGCAACTTGAAGAGTCTGTTACCCTTATTTTCATTGTATTTCAATGTATCTCGCTGTATTCTATGCATTTCATTGTATTCATTGACTTTTTTTCCCATTGTATTTCAATATATCTCGATGTATTCCGTGTATTTCATTGTATTCACTGTCTCGCTATATTCCATGAATGTATTTATATATTTTTTTAATTAATATAATATATGCATTCAGATGTATATATGTATTCAAATATATCTGCAGTATGTATTCATATGTTTTTGCACTATAGATGACCTACTATACTTCATGTATTCAATGTGTTTTTATGTATTTAAAGGTATTCAATGTAATTACAATGGGAAACACTTTACCGGCAGCAGCAGGAAAAACCCTAGATTCTAGAGAGAGAGGCTCTAGCGATTTTTCGGGGAACTAGAGAGAGAAACACGCTATTTCGCTGCCATGGCCACGCCGGCCGGCGGCCAGCCATCTTCAACGGTTGGTCTGCCTCCCCTCAACACCATAACCACTCCTAATCCTACTCCACAACCATTAGATTACTCCAAGATCCTTAAACCCAATGTATTAAATACTGCCATGCACATGAGTACGTCTAGTTCAAAAACTAATGAGATCATCGAGCCAATTCCAATGGAACCTGTTACTTTTCTACATGGACAGCCTATGATTAAGTGGACTGAAGCAGAAGTTCAACGAATGAATATCATGGAAGGATTACAATACGCAGTTCTTGGGAAATTTTCTTATGGATGGCCAGAATTGAATGAGATACGTAAAATTCTTCCAGCGCAATATGGAATCAAGGGTGAATGCAATATTGGTTTGTTTAGAGATCGTCATGTTTTGATCAGATTTACTTTACTTGAAGATTTTGCAAATTTTACGTCTAAAGGAGAATATTATTTGAAGGCTAAGGATGGATATCAATATCAAGTACGTCCATTGATATATGATACCAAGTTTAAAGTCGAGGAAGAGACATCTAAGGTGATGGCATGGATTTCTTTTCCAAACTTGTTGCCCACGTATTTTGTAAAGGAGTGCTTGTTTTCTTTGGCTTCAGCAGTAGGAACTCCTTTGCATTTAGATTTGGCCACTGTCAACAAGACTAGGCCAAGTTGTGCTAGAGTTAAGGTATTGGTGGATTTACTTGAGGATTTGCCAAAAAGAGTTCGTATGGATATAGAAGATGAAGCTGCAGGTACTGTCAGAACTGAATGGGTAAAGATACAATATGATTATATACCTAAATACTGTAAGGAATGCAAGTTGCAAGGACATAATGAAGAATCATGTTGGAGACAACATCCAGAACTTTTTGTGGCGCCTGGTAGGGAGAAGCCACCTACTGATACAAGAGGTAATGCTCAGAACTCTCAGAATAATCCAATTATGATCTTATCTAGTGGTAAAGTTGTTGGGAATCTTGGTGAACAATGGAAGGAAGTTAGGGACAATCGAGTAAAAAATGGTGCAAAGCAGGCTGAAATTAGAGGTCAAACTGGAAAAGAAATTGTTCCAGTTGATCCCCAGAATGTGCAACAAAATGGAGGGAATGCAGGTAAGCAGATGGTTCCATTTGAAGTGGGTAATAATCAGCAGAGACAACAAGTACTACCTAGTGCAGGAATGGAGATAATCCCAGCTAAATTGCCAGTTAATCGGCAGATTCAGGTAGTCAACAAGTTTGCAGTTTTAGAGAATGAAGAGAGTGATGTAGATGGAGCTAATCAAGTGGCAACAGTGAATACCAACAATATCTCAAGTCCAAATGCTACTTCACAGGTATCTGGGAGGTCACTTAATGCAGCAGCACCTGTTTTTTATCCTATATCAAATGGAAAAAAGACAAGGAAGGAGAACAATGGTATAAAAGATGCAGTACATATAGGGGAGAAGAGTAATGGACAAGGAAAGGAATCCACAGCTCAATGGGTTAGTAGAACTTTTGCTGTCAACAATGTTATTATGAATCAGTCTTGCCAAGAGATACCATCTCAGGCAACTGATCCAGAAGAACTAGCTGAGCATGAATTGCTGAAACAAAAGGTCAATTGGACTGGTGGTAGACTATGGAGCAATCAGACAGAAGAGGATCCAGATGAAGGGGATTTATCTGAAGGATATAAAGAGGAAGCTGTACCTGTAGGAGAGGAACAAGGAGAAGAAATTAGTGTTAGTGGGAATACTAACAAGGGAGAGGGTCAGACAGGAGAAAAAACTACAGAAACAACTCACACTTCAATGGAGATTGTTGGATCAAGTTCTAAATTGCAACGGATAGATAATAGCTCCAACCCTATTCCCATCACTGATGGTACTACTGATCCTACATCAGATCCTAGAGTAGAGGAGCCAATTGATCCTGGTGATACTGGTGAGGGAAAGGAGGAACAAAATGCAGAAAGGAGTGGAGACATAGAAAAGGAGAATGAAGTAGCTGCCATTGATGTACAAAAGAATGATCAAATGGTAAGTATTATGAATGCAGAACAAAAGAACACAACTGCTGCAGACAAAAGCATTATACCAAAGCCAACCAACAATCAGATTATTCCTAATGATCAGCAGAAGGATATGGAAGATGATACAGCAGGACAAAGAGGGGATTTAGATGCAGAATCCATTTGTCAAAACTTCAGAAATGTTGCTAGACAAGGAGACATATCCCCTAGGTTTATGGATAAGGGTAAATTAGCTGGTATGGGTAAAAAAAAAGAAGGAGATTCCTAGCATTCAACCAGCTGGGGTCCAAATAAGGAGGACTCACTCTAAATCCATCAATTAAAGATGAATGCTCTATTATGGAACATTAGATCTGTCAATACACAAGGAGCCTTTGAAAGGCTTATAAAAATGCATAGAAAATACCATTTTGAATTCATAGGGCTGATGGAACCAATGCAGCAATCAAGAAAACTGGATGGCTACAAGAGGCAGATTGAATTTGAACAAGCCTTTATCAATATCTCTAATAAGATATGGGTATTATTGATGGCAAGTATGATGTAACTGTGGAGATTAATTCAGTACAACAGTTAACATTGAGGTTATTTGATATAGAGACGCAGAAGGAATTTATGATCACATTAGTCTATGCTAAATGTGATCACTTTGACAGAATTGAGTTATGGGATTCACTGTATTATTTAGCTCAAGACATGACTATCCCATGGTTGGTTGGAGGTGATTTTAATGTGATTTGGGATGAAGAAGAGAAGTTTGGAGGGCTGCCAGTCCCTTTAAATGAAGTTGATGACTTCAGGCATTGTATGACTACTTGCAACCTTTCAGATCTTGGTTTTAAAGGGAGTATATATACTTGGTGGAATGGTCGTGCAGAAGAAGACTGTATTTTTGAAAGGCTGGATAGAGTTTTTGCTAACTTTGAAGCTCAACAGTTATGGCCAGGAATGGAGGTCACTCATCTGCCCAAAATTGGTATGTCCTCTCTTGATTTCATTTGATTCAGCTTCTGTTCCTATAAAGAAGAGCTTCATATTTTTAAAGTTTTGGACAGAACATGAATCCTTTAAGGCTGTAGTACGGGAGAACTGGGAAGCAGATCTCTATGCAAATCCTTTCATATTGTTTAATCACAAACTCAAGAAACTGAAGAAGGCTCTATCAACATGGAGCAGGGCTACTTTTGGTGATATTTTTCAGAAGATAGCTAGCTTGGAAGAGGTAGTTAGAGTTCATGAAGCTCAGTTTGAAATTAATCCTGCAAAACAAAATAGAGAAAGATTGCAGAAGGTGCAGGCAGAATTAATCAAATATCTGGCATTGGAAGAAAAGTTTTGGAAGCAGAAAGCTAGAATGCAATGGTTCAATGATGGAGATAGAAATGCGAAATTATTTCATGCACATGTGAATGGGAGGAGAAAGAGGCTACAGCTTAAGAGAATCCAAAACACAGCTGGTGTTTGGATAGAAGATAAGGAAGAAATGGCTAATGAGGCAGTACAATTTTTTCAAAAATAGTTTCATGAAGAAGTGGTTCCTACTGCATTTGATATCATTGAACATGTACCACACATGGTGGATATGGAACAGAATCAAGAACCGCTGAGACAACCTACTGCAGAAGAGGTCAAACAGGCTGTGTACGGGCTGAATGGTGATAGTGCTGGGGGTCCCGATGGATTTAATGGCTGTTTTTTTCATAGTTGCTGGGATATCGTTGGGGAGGATGTGGTGGAGATGGTGAAGGCCTTTTTCAATGGACAAGATCTTCCTAGGTTTATCACTCATACAAACCTAGTATTACTACCTAAGAAGAAAGATGTGATCACATTTTCAGACATGAGGCCTATTAGCCTTAGTAATTTTATCAACAAAGTATTTTCAAGGGTTATTCATGAGAGATTAGCTGGGCTCTTACCTAATCTTATATCTGATGAGCAAGCTGGCTTTGTGAAGGGCAGAAGTATTGTAGAAAATGTTCTATAGACATAAGAGATAATCACTGATATAAGGTTAAGGACTAAGGCAGGACCAAATGTAGTAATTAAGCTGGATATGATGAAGGCCTATGACAGACTTTCATGGCTGTTTCCGACAAAAATTTTGAGGAAAATAGGCTTTTCTGAAAGATTCATTTGTTGGGTGTTTGGTTTGGTCTCTAATAATTGGTATTATGTCTTGATAAATGGCCAACCACATGGTTTTTCAAGTCCACTAGAGGAGTGAAACAGGGAGATCCCTTATCTCCTACTTTGTTCATACTGGCAGCAGAAGCATTATCAAGAGGATTGAATGCCTTGCATAATAATCTCTATTTCTGTGGCTTTGACCTGCCTAAGTGGAGTCCTAAGATTAATCACTTGGCATACGCAGATGATACCATTATCTTTTCTTCTTCAGATGAAATTTCCTTGCAACTGATAATGCAACTTTTTTCAGCTTATGAAGCAGCTTCAGGTCAGTTGATTAACAAAGCAAAATCTGCAGTCTATATGCATCATCTTACCAATGAAACAGTGTTTAGCAAGGTTGAAAGAGTGTTTGGGATCAGGAGGCAGGAGTTCCCATTTACATATTTGGTATGCCCTATTTGCTATGCTAGGAGGAAGATGGAATATTATAATGGTCTCATAAACAAGGTGCTGGATAAACTGCAGTCTTGGAAGGGGATAATGTTGTCTATAGGAGACAGGGCTGTGTTGATTTCTCGTATTACTCAGAGTATGCCTATTCACTTACTGTCAGCGGTTAATGCACCAGCTTTGTTATCAATAAATTGCAAAAACTCATGGCAAGATTTTTCTGGAGTAGTTCAATTGAAGGAGGTAGCAGGCATTGGGCTTCTTGGGATACATTATGCTTGCCACAAGAAGAAGGAGGGATTGGTTTTAGATCTTTACTTGATGTCTCTAAGGCATTATTTTGTAAGTTTTGGTGGAACTTCAGAACAAAACCATCATTGTGGAGTTCATTTATGAGCCAAAAATACTGTAAGAAACTAAATGCCATTGCTGTTCCATGGAGAAGAAATGGCTCTCATATTTGGAGGAAAATGTTAGAATGCAGAGATAATATTGAGCATCAAATTCTATGGCAGCCTAAAATGGGATCTGCATTATTTTGGTTTGAGAATTGGACTGGTTTGGGGGCTCTTTATTTCATAACACCACCAGACTTCTTCTGTGATGAGTCAATTCAAAATGTAAATGAAGTACTGAATGGGAGGAACTGGAATGAGCAGAAACTAAGGGAACTCTTACCTGAGGATTTGGCCAATCATATATTGTAGAACATCAAACCACCAGGTGAAAATATGGTACTGGACAAACCTTTTTGGATGTTGGAACAAGGGGTGAGTTTACTGTGAGGTCAGCTTGGGATTATATCAGGAGAAGGAGGGAACCTTGCAAAGCTTACAAGATGATATGGGTGAAAGGGTTACCATTTAAAGTGTCTTTCTTCATGTGGAAGGTTTGGAAGAAAAAAATACCTCTAGACGATTTTTTCAGAAGATTGGGATACCTTATGGCTTCTAGATGTTGGTGCTGTGTTCTACCACAAGAAGAAACCTTGGCACATTTGTTTTTCAAATCCTATCCTGCTAGGAAGGTATGAAAATATTTCTTATCAGCTGCAGGTATTAATATTGATGGACTCACATTTCATCAAGCTGTGGTGAAGTGTTGGACTGCCCAGGTGATCCCAAGGATACAACCGGTACTACATGCATTGCCATCGATAATAGTTTGGGAATTATGGAAGAGAAGAAATTCATACAAATATGGAGATGCAGTCTCAGGTAATAGAGTTATATACCAGGTATCAACCACACTTCAATACCTAGTCACATTCAGAAAACCAAGCTTGAAAAATGTACCACATAAATGGCCTGATTTGCTGCAATTACTGGAACAATACACACCCAAGTTGAAATATACTAAGGTGTTATGGGAATTACCTGAGCAAGGATGGATAAAGGTTAATACGGATGGAGCATCTAGGTGTAATCCAGGTAAGAGTTCCATAGGCTATGTGTTAAGGAATGATGAGGGGAATGTAGTCTATGCATGTGGTAGAGAAATAGAGGAGGGTACAAATACAGAAGCTGAGGTGAAAGCTATCCTAGAAGCCTTAAGGTACTGTGTTGAGCATGATTACATTCTTATTGACTTGCACACTGATTCAATGCTAGTCAAGAATGTACTAACAGGAGAATGGAATGTACCATGGGCTGTTGTAGTATATGTGGAGGAAATAAGGGAGCTGATGGGAAGATGTAACTTGAGAATATCTCATATGGTGAGGGAAGGAAACCAGCTAGCAGATCGTATAGCCAATTATGCTTTGGATATTGGCCCAATGGAGTGTACTGGATTTGGAGATCTGGATGTCAAAGGGAGGAAAATTGTGAATAGCGATAAATTACAATGCCCATACATCAGAGTAAAGGTTGCAAGAACCTAGGAGAGGAGGAGGAAAGGAGTAGCAGGAGCAGGGGAAATTCTGGGATGCCACACGCTCGTCATACTCAAATCCATGTGGATGAGAGTATGGTGAATTTGTTTATTGCTAACCTAGTTTTCTTTTTTGCAGGGAACGCTACTGTGGTCATACCCCATCTTTTGAATAACTCTCATTTGGTGGTATTAGTACTATGTATTCATTCCAATGGGAGGGAAGCAAGGATGGGCATAAGCATGGCATGGGATTTACACAATGAAAAACTGGGCTACTGTGTGCCTTTTGAGGAGCTTTGGCATGTTTCTCATGATCAAGGAACCTTATTGATAAGGAATATAACATGCTCAGCAACAGATTGCAGAATACAAGATAACATGGATACAAAAGGATACCAGACACAGTCACACTCTAACTGTAGATGGGTACGACTATGTGACCAAAGGGACTACACAAGAAACACAAGATGGAAAACATATAGATGTTATACACATACAGCATTACTGATACGCAGGCAAGATAATCCTGAAGGAAGTTCACACATAAGGGCAGGGTTCAAACTGCAATTTTGGTCACAGCAGACCAAGTTCAACATAACTCCCAGGTATTTATGGTTGAGAGTGTACTTCAGAAATGGATATTAATGTTGGAAGCTCTAGCTAACTGAAGATTTTCAACAAACGACATGGATCAATCAACAACTACAATCATCACAAGGCTTAGAATTTTCAGAATACATAGCCAACATGACATGCACGCGAGCAGAAGTTGGAAATATGGCCATTTTTGTAAATTTCAAATTTTTAACCATTCCATAGTACAATATGTGATATCAATTTTGAGTCTACTACTCAAGATTGATAATAGGGATTATGTAAGTACAATAGGTAGCCATTTACAATTTTTAGCCACATTGACAGTATGTTTTCACTTTATTTTAGATATATATAAAAATTAGCCCTAGGCACCTCGCCTAGTGGATATATATATATATATATATATATACCACTAAAAAAAAGAAAGGATGGATTGAATCTCTAAAGATTGCTCTGTTTTTTGGGGTGTTTTTCGGTTGAGAATCTTTTCTATAATTGAAAATACAAATTTTGTGTGTTATAATTGGAATAGTTGAGTTATATTAGGAGTCTATCGCGTTCATTGATTCACTTACCGTTTTTAAACAGCTGAAGACCTTTTTTTATGTAAATTCCGTTACTGTATTCACGAATATAACTCGCGTATACAGTCGAATACATTCTCTGCTTAGCTGGACTCCCCTGTTTTCCGCTGAGTTTTGCTACTGTATTCATCCAGCAGGCTGATTGGGCTGGCTCAAAGCTTCAATCTTGAATGGGCCAACAAAATTTTGATCCAACCCTTCCCGTAAAAATAGCACAGTATAGCCAATTTTCGGACTGGTCATTCAAAAATAGCCAGCGTTTACCAAGTCAATGAAAAATAGCCACTATTTTGCTGCAACAGAGATCGGTCCAGCATAATATACTGGAGTTCGGTGCACCCGTGCATGAACTCCAGCATATTATGCTGGACCGGTATACTTTGCTGGCTCCAGTATAATATACTGGAGACTAGAGCACCGATGTTCCAAACTCCAATATATTATGCTGGACCGATATACTTGCTGGAACTCCAGTATATTATGCTGGAGTTCTAGTGTACTTATGCTGGAACTCCATCATATTATGCTGGAGTTCCAGCATACTTATCCTGGAGTTCAAGTATACTTATGCTGGACCGGTATACTTGCTGGAACTCCAGTATATTATGCTGGAGTTCTAGTGTACTTATGTTGGAACTCCATTATATTATGCTAGAGTTCCAGCATACTTATCGTGGAGTTCAAGTATACTTATGCTGGAACTCCAGCATAATATACTGGCGTATTTTCCGGGTATTGAACAGTGTTTTCGCTCAAATTTATCTTTACATGAAAAGTGGCTAAGTTTCAATTACTTTTGAAACTGCACTATTTTTGAACGATCAGTTGTAAATCTGGCTATTTTTTAATTTCTCCCACCCTTCCCAACTAGCGGGTTGGA